CCTCCTGCGCCTGTATGTGCCGGGTATCTAAATCCTTATTCTGTTATTCAATCCATGACAGCGAGAATGGTTGAAATTTTGAGGAAACCACTGAGTATTTTATTAATAAAATACTGGAATTCGGGAAAAAAATCATTCTGATCAATGAGAGGGAGGCGATTATCCGCTGCCATCATACCGAGTGTTCAGTTGAGGCTCGCGGCCGGAAAAGACAACAAGTATGGCTAACCAAGGAGGTATGTATTTATATATTATCATTTATTTTCTTCTTTGAACGATAACGTTCATTTCTAACAATTAAAATTATTGTTCGTGACTTTCTACATCCACTGTCCTGTGTACTAAGCGGCGAGAAGCGTAGTAATTTGATGAAGATCGCTTTTATAAATCATACAGATACTGGATACATAGACAACAGATAGATTCATAGATATAAACATAGTTTACCCATACCGTGTATATAAATAACCCATATTTATACATTCATTATTAATCAGAACAAGTTAGATAGAATGTATATTTGTAGTAATATAAACCTCCAAATTGTTGTATTCTGTTCAACTGTCCTCTATATAACAATATGAAATTGGTCGAAGACCCGTACTCAGGAAATAAAATAACAACATAAAACGCTCACTGAGTTTCCAGCGATATACATACCCTTTTCTAGATATATACCTAATAATAATAAACGAACGAACGAATGTATTCCTTCCACTCGTGAGCTCATTTACCATTGTCACATATAGTAAATGTCCAGGCCTTGTGACCCTGGATGGGCACTTAAAAGGAAAGAATACACACACACAAAGATTCGTTCGTTCGTTTATTATTATTAGGTATATATCTAGAAAAGGGTATGTATATCGCTGGAAACTCAGTGAGCGTTTTATGTTGTTATTTTGTCCTCTATATATTGAATCAGCCAATCAAATATTTTGCTAGTTGATTGCCCTTTCCAGAAAAGATCTGCACTCTCCCTACGGAGGAATTTCTGTCGTCTGGAGCAGGGATCTACTTCTAATAATTAATTGTATATTACACCAGTGGTAGGAAGGGGACTTCTGGATTCCTCTACCCGAACGGGTGGGGGAACTTCTGAATTCCTCTGTGGGGGTCCGTCAGGCAGGGGCGGAAAAAGTATCGGAACCTGGGAACCTAGTTCCCAGAAATTTTTTGAGTTCAGAGTTTTGCAGAAAATTTTCCAGAAAATATTTCAACATTTTGAGATAACTCTGTTTACTCAACTTACAAGTTACAACTATTCTACTTTACACTGTACACAGTAACATCAGCAGCTTGCAGCATATTTGACAGAAATTAATTCTTTTACCCACCCCTGCCATCACAATTAGGTAAAATGGTAAATATATGCTCAGCAAAGTCTCCAATAAAATGTAAATTAAATAGTAAACAAATAAAAGTGATGGAATAAATAAGATGGTAGGACACCTAGTTAAGCGTTAGATCCTTACTAGTTGGTCATAACTCATAACTGTGGTACATAACAGACAACTATTGCGATGTACGAGCATATGAAAACACCAGCCTAAAGCCTATTATTACTAAAGTACAAATGATACAATAATTATGCATTTGTTTTGTTATTTTTGTAATTGTAACATTGCAAATTGTACAGAAAATTTCTAACCTTCGACCCAGGTTCCCAGAAAGAAAAAAATTTTCCACCCCTGCTGTCAGGTGTAGATGTTTTCTGGAATGACCCAATGATGGTTGAAAATTTAGGCAACAGGTTGCTATAGTTGTTTAACCCATTGAGCCGCAATGCGCCCCAGTATGCGCCCTACTTTTTTACTTGTCTAACGCCAGACGATTTTACTCGTCAACGGGGAAGCTCTGCAGCTTAATGGGTTCACATCATCAATTTCTTGAACACAATGGGCTTTGGTGGCAAAATTGTATGAGGTGATGTTACCGCCAAAATTCAGAGTGCTTATTTTTTTAAATGGAGGCAATATTTTTTTAAAATGGAGGCATTTTTTAAAATGAGGCATTATTTTTGAAAATGAAGGTATTATTTTTGAAAATGGAGGTATTGTTTTTGAAAATGGGAGGCATTATTTTTGAAAATGAAGGCATTATTTTTGAAAATGGGGGCATTATTTTTGAAAATGGAGACATTTTTGAGAATGGAGGCATTGTTTTTGAAAATGCAGTCTTTATCCAGACATTGTTTTTGAAAATGCAGCCATTATTTTTCAAAATGGTGAATTTTTTATGCAGAGGTTTGGGGACGAGTTCAGCAGGTCCGCGGAACCTGGGGAACAGATCAAACCTGTCATCAAACCAAGATGGCTGCCATTTCGGCAGAAATTTAATTAAACTGCGGAGTAAATATCAGATGATCTTTCTACTGCAGCTCTTATATTTTGTGAATTGGCGAATCGATTACCACAAACACAAGAGAAATGGACAGCAAAATGGCGCAAATAGCAACAAATCTATAAAGAAATGTATTACGAGAAAATGTGTGTGTTTAGCAGACAAAGAACAACAGGAAGTTCCAGATCGTGAAGAAGAATTGCTATTGGTAGCAGGACTTGGAGAGGTGAATCTCAGTGAAAGTGGCTGTTCCACAGACAAACTGCTTACAGTTGCTGGAAGAACAGGTGAATTATTATCCAATGGTACTACGTAATCAAGTTGTCAATTCACGAAATATATGAGCTGCAGTAGAAAGATCATCTGCCATTTAATCTAGTTTAAGAAAAGTATGGTTTCTGCCGAAATGGCAGCCATCTTGGTTTGATATGTACCCCGGGTTTTGGGGACCTGCTTGAACTCGTCACCAGACCTCTGCATAAAAAAGTCACCATTTGGCATTTCCAAAAATAATTTCTGCATTTTCAAAAATAATGCGTCCATTTTCAAAAATAATGCCTCCATTTTAAAAAAATGCCTCCATTTTAAAAAATAATGCTTCCATTTTAATGTCTTCATTTTCAAAAATATTGCCTCCATTTTAAAAAATAAACATGGCAGTAACGGCACCCCATAAAATTGTCAGAGTGAGCACTTTGGAATAAACCCCAAATCGGCAAATGACCTTCCCACCATAGTTTTGTTGTTTTCCGTGATTAGATATATGGATGAGCTGCATTCTCCACAATTCAGCTTACAGTAGCTCTCAGTTGCAACTGATGATAATTACATGTAGCTGCCCCCCACTTACTTACTTGAAGCCACAATTATCTTGTGTTGGCTCTCTTGTCAAGGATCTGGGTAAAAATCCGGTTTTGATTGGTCTTTTGCTCATCAAAGGTTACCCATTTTCTCTTTCTCTTATTTTAATTCTCAAGCAAGATCTCTTAGAAGCAGGAGGGTCATAATTTGCATGAACGACTTTGTCAATCTACTGTCACCTTCTGGTTGAATTATGAATGTGTGCTTTCAATAAATCCTAACAATTACAGAATTGCAGAATAGAAATAAAATACTTCAAGAACTTAATGAAAAGAAAAAGCAGCTTGGGCAACAAACAAGGTAACTTTCAATACAAAATTTGCCTTTGTTTGCTTGGGATCAATTTATTCTAATAACATAGTTTGTTTCATACAGTATATGATTATATATCAGGTGAAATATGGTCTCAAATATGCTGGGAACTTTTGTAGATGATACAACTACCTGTACTAGTACTTGAACTTTTGTACATGACACAACTGCTGTATGGTACCTGAAAAGACACAAAAAGTGCCCTCTTTCCGGTTGCAAAGTGTCCTTTGCTTTCGTGAAAAATGTTGTTCAGATTGCATTTTTATGATTGCATTTATTTTTCCTTACCTTCTCCCCCTCCCCCCTCGCCAACATTTCCGGGAAAAAATTTTTAGGTGCCCTTTTCATTCCAAAAATCCCCTTCGAAACCAGTGCCCCCTGAGCAACTTGATGCTTCCTACGCCCCTGCCCGGACCTGAACTTTTGTAGATGATATAACTGCTGTACCTGAACGTTTGTACGTGTACATGAAGTTTGCTAGTTTTCTCATCCACAAAAGTTCGCTGTTTTGATAAGAATATATTAATCAGACAACTATTGTATTCTTTGCTAACTACATTAATGACAGGCACTGTTCTAAAATTGCTCTTCTGTCTTTTGTTGCAGTGCGACAGCTGCTCCATTTTTACCAAGTCATCCACCAAAAGTGCACGAGGTAATGCGGAACCCAACATTTTAAAAATTAGATATTTCGATAAAATGTAACTCATTTTCAAATTTCCATGTGAACATTAAGATTTTTGCTCAAGAGAAATATAAGAATACTTCAAAAATATCATCTCGTAAATATCATCAAGATGTGAGTTGTTCAAAGGCAAGGTCTGACGTGCACAATCTGACAGACATTTGGCCTGCAGAACATTCAGCTGACCGAACATTCAGCTGACAGAACATTTAGCCACAGAATATTTCCCTGAATGGGCCAGCTTCTTGTGTCGGACTATTAATGTTCTATCGACTAAATGTGCAGCCATGATTCTAACAGGGTTTATTTCAGGTTCCACGTCATGCAAGCGAAGCTCACCTGCTAGCCCAAAGACAAGCACTTGAGGTAGGATATTATGATTATCAGGTCAAAAATGCATTGATGAAAATCATAACCGCTGAATTTATGAAAAGTTTGTTATGATATGGTCCAACTCAAGTTACTCAACCAGTTGTTATATTTTATTCTCGGTTGTCTCAATGAAAGAATAACCTGTCGTATGATATTCCTGTATAAAAAGGTGTGTTAGGCTCTTAGCTTTCGTCGTCTACGACATCATCTTGGTCATCATCATCAACGTCTCTGATGATGTCGTAGACTACGAAAGCTAAGACACCTTTTTATACTTTTTATATTTTTATAGTTTTTATATTAAAATTTGCCGCCTGAGTTAGGCTTTATTTTCAGCAGTAGCTTTTGGCCTCACTTGAACACCCAATTTCATATAATACTATACTGAAGGACAACTTTGTAGTTTGTACAATACGTTTACAACAATTGTGATATTACTTTTCTAACTACTGTATACGTTTATCCTAACCCATCCTGCCAACTTTCCCTGTAGAAGGAAACCGGAGCGCCCGGGAAAAACCCGCGACCTCCGGCAGAGCGTTGGGCGCACGAGTTCGTAGCGAGAATCGAACCCACGAACTCAGGTGAAAGGCGCTTGCTCTGACTACTACACAACCGAAGCCCCATACTGCACCACCGAAGCCCCTATCACAGAATAGATACACAACCAGAAGTGTCACTCAGACGATATTTTGTCCGAAATTTTACGAGTGCTGACGTGAAAATACGCCATCATATGACGCCATCCTGGAGTGCACACGGAAGTTTTTCATAGGAAAACATAGGTACAAAGTGCCGTGTGCACTCCAGGATGGCGTCGTTGCACGTAAAAAAATTTCGGACGTTTTCCTTCAGTCAAAACACATAGGAGTGTCCCTTCTGGTCCGGTATCTATTCCAACCTCGTCCCCAGGGCCTTTTGAGGAAAGATGCGAAGGGCAGCTAAGGCCCTGGTAAAGGCTGGTGAAATAATCCACAAATTGTGGATTATTTTGTCACGTGATATATCGGAGCAAATACTATACAGGGGGTGCGATCGCGGATCGCTTTAGCTACAATATATTCGTCAATATTGCATAAACACCGAATCGACAAATAAAGAACAAAAATCCATTTTAAAGTGAAAAAATCTGTTAAAGTTCTTCCAAAAATATTGAATAAATTTGAAATTGTCTTCAAATTAGCTCTGAGAACCTTGGTTGAACTGTAAAGGAGATCTATTAAATAGACAAAGCAACAGTGCAAAACGAATGGATCGATAGAAGTATTTATACTATGAATTACAGTCTGTCGCAAGGAAATTGCTGCCTCGATTGTGAAACAGATATGTAAAACCACTTTAATTTAATAATATGGACTCTCAATACACCATATCCATGATCATCAAAACATTTAATAGTTATTGTTGCTACAATAGATCTTTCTTGCAAATGTCAATATCATACACTATATATTTAACAGTTAAAGGGAGTACAAGACCCAAAGAATGTCTGAAAAACAAGGAATGTCAACATCGTATGCACTTGGAATTTAAATGCTTATGTTAGCCATATGTCCTGAGTATAACCTGGTTGACCTCCATGGTTAATTAACATTTCCTGAATTTAATTGAGTTGAAATATTTTATTTGATTTTCATTCTTATCCCAAGAACATTGTGAACACACATATAGTGCTTTGGGTTTAGATTTCAAAGGCCAAGCTTCAAAACAAATGTTGTGATCTTAATGATCAGGCATTCCCAAACAATTACATGCATGAGGGTCAAATCAGACAGAAAGCCTCCATATGCTTTATCAAGGCTGAATAATATAATGAGATGGAATTAATTTCCTCATTATACTGTTAACAAGCTCTTGTTTTTGTTTTTAATCAATTACACAAATTACTTCCCAGAACATTATTTAAGGAGATTATTTGACAAGTCAGCAGGTACATTTTTTCCTGAGCCACAATTGGGGCAATTCAGTGTCACTCATCACAACAGGCACTCAAAATCACTCACAACATACAACAGGCAGTTCAGCATCACTCACCACAATTGACTGTTCAATACTGTGTGCCTCAGTAGGCAAATCAATAATCAATATTTTGCTCAGATCAACAACAAATATCAAAATTGAACTCATTCTCAAAACATGATACAATAACAAGGGGTCTCTTATGGACAAATACAAGACACCTGGTGTCAAATGTATCAAGTGACAAGATTATTCATCTCTTTTAATTTAAATACATTTTGCCGCCTTGTAATAAAGTACTATTTGTTTTGGGGACCATCAGTTGAGCAATTTAAAACATTCGCAGTGTATGCTTTATCAGACCTAAAGGTACTTGGCTTCACCTCGTATCTTTATACCTGATAAAACTATAGTACATAAAATAATAACTATGATATTTAGCCAGAATATTATTATAAATGTATGAAGGATATTATACATATATATTCTTGATGCTCAACATTATCCGATAATCATTTAACTATTGAGAATTGTGTGAATTCCTGAATTACTTATTGTTACAGACTGTACTGACCTCTTGCAATTATGGTTATTAACCAAAATCTGACAATGTCTCTAGTTAACCCATTGAGCTGCAATGTGCCCCAGTGTGCCCTACTTACTGAAATTGACTGATTTGTGGTTTATGGATTTTTTTGTGGCAATTCTTTGGGCATCACAAGTGCATTTGTATATCTTAATACACTGTGAGAATACAAGTATTAGTATTTAAATGACACAATATGATGTAAGTTACCTTTCAGGTATATAATTTGTATACAGCATCAGTGGTGTAAATTGGTTGCCCTGAATAAAATCCACTTGCCATCAGGCAATGGGGTACCTACGCGGGCCAGTATAAATTAGAGAGACAATATATCCACTTATTGGACTAGTGGCATTGGCTATGTTACTGCCTCAGATCTAGACTACCTCAGATCTAGCTTTGGCTCACATATTAAACAAAATTTGAATCAAGTACACTTATTTAATGTAACACTAATCACCATTATTTTTTTTTATTAGTTTTACAATAAGAAATTGAAGGCACAGACAACAGGACTAATAAAGTCCCAAATTAAGTCCTGCCATAAATTAAGTCCTGCCATATTTCGTTATCATATCATGAATAAACATTTAATAACCAAAAAGAGAATCAATGCATAATAATTATAATCAAACAATTTAGATGAATTTGATACAGATGATTTGCCAGCTTGAACCAATGTCGTTGAACAGCCTTTATTCTATCCGACAATAATAATATGAACTGAAAGCTGGCCAGCTTTTTGTGGCAAAGCAACTTGCCCGTTTAGGCAACCAAGAGGAAACTTTTACTTGCCCATCATGATATTCACTTGCCCCGGGCAAGTGTTAAGTTACACCTCTGAGCATAGTAGTTGCCATTTGGCAGCTGTTGGTCTGGTTGAAGTGCTCAGATAATTTGGGGAGACCCATGGCATGCTCTCTCAACAGTGAAGGTTCAAAAACACACATGCCGGAATGCTTATAGAATACCGCGCCATTTTCCGCATTCATTGACACATAAATAAGTACAAGAATCACTTCAAAATAGTTTAAGGTAAAGTTTAGAGATTAAATCATATGAGTATGTTAGTTTGGTTTACAAGGAATTAATAGCGGTAAGGTGTGAAAGTTGTGGGTATTCTATAGTTGTATAAAAAAAGCCAAGCTAAAAGCCCCAAGAATACCTGATTGCCACAATGTCAAAGAGCATAGTTGCTGACTAAGAAACATCTATTAGACCATGTACAGTACTTGAGTCTTGTGATAATATCAGTGATATTGCTTTTGTATTATACGATATACTGTAAACTTGCTGTTAACATATTATTAATATTCATGGTTGTCATATATCATAAAATCAACACACAAAATTCACACACAAAGGTTTAAAATAGTGTATATTGGTATAAACGTTTAATAAAAATGCATACATACATAACCCATGGTCGGCATGGAATTTTGTCACTTGGCACAGCACTTTAATGTTTTTTAATGTTTGTCCCACATTAAAATATATTGAGTCAATTATATGACAGTGCAACTGTTCATATTAAAACGTTCTAATCACATTTTACATGCACATTTGTATTCAGTAGTAATCTTTTCATAAAGATACATCAAAGTCCCAAATCAAATTCTTCACTGACAGTAGTGACAGTATGTTATTGACTCCCAAACGACAAATATTATAAAACACGCTTCCAAGCTGAAAAGAAATATTTACTGTTGTCAGTCAATGTTTAGACTCTTCTCTTTGAATCTTGATCTTCCACAAGTATTGCTGTTGATTATATTCCATATTTTTTTGAAGAACATCGCAGACTATATATCTATTTCCACTGTCAGTTGAAAAGTTTATCATCATAGTTTCGGTCTCTGGTTTCAGTCGCAAAAACTTCTATCGCCCCTTTGCACGGCCATGTTTGATAAAATCAAAGCGGCCCGCACCCCCGGTTTGAAAAGTTAAATATTCTGAAATATTCAAAATTTGAAGCATCACGTGACCAGCCTTTACCAGGGCCTTTGCTGCTTCGCCTCCTTCCTCAATAGGCCCTGGGGACGAGGTTGTATCTATTCTGGGCCCCTATATTGATAAAAATCCTTTCAAAGGCGCTTGCTCTGACGACTACACCACCGAAGGCCCATTGCGCCACCAAAGCCCCATACTGCGCCTCAGAAGCTCCAAACTGCCCCACCGAAGCCCCTATTGGTAAACGTCCTTTCAATATTTTAGTATGCAAATTCCATTTCGTGGGGTTATTTCATCACTCAAGATTCTCTACATGGCAATTTGATCTTACCTGTGATACCAAGATTTGAACCTGACTGAAGAACATTGCATGATTGAAATACAAGAAGAGCTTCTTTACGGTGGGTTGTGTGTGAATGGCGTGTGAGACCTGGAGAGAACTGTCAGACATGCGTGGTGTATACTGCCTCTCAAGATTGTAAAATTAAAGGGATACGGATATATATAAACTTATATGTAAATCTCCTTTACCGTTTATTCGTATCTTGCTTAGTTTTTGAAATATTTTCACTTAAAATATTTAGCTGTCTGCCATCTTGGATATATTTTTATCTCATTATCGGTGATTTTAGTGCCGTCAAAAGCGGTTATAAAACTACATCTAATAACAGTAAGTCTTGTGTGAAAAGTTGGCAGTCACTTTCTTATTTGAAAAAGTTACTGAAGTATGATTTTGGGCTCATAATAACCAATTGCTCTCTGGTTAAAATACTTGCGTGACCCTGCTTATGACGTAACATGTATATCCGCCAAAATCCGGGATGGCGGAATGCTCGCTGATTTGTGATTTTTTCTGTCAAAATATCTCAAGAAATAATAAAGTTACGCAAAATCGGTAACGGAGACATATAATTTTAAAAGTTCTTCGAAATGAAATAATAAGAAATATCCCTTTAACTGCAAAAGCTGGAGTTTCACGCCGAATTCAGTTGCACTCAATACAGAACATGTTATCTGTTTTGCGATAACTTGCATTACTAGTGGGTACATCTGATATATCCATGGAATATATTAATAAAATTGGCCAGAAAAATAAAACATATGTACCTTTTGTATAGCAACTGCTTTTGCATTTTTAGTTGTGTGTTTTAGGTTTACGAAGGTCTGATAGCGCTATAGATAGAGATTGTTTCGACCTGCGCCATTTTTCAGCCTGCGCCCTGTTTCAACCTGCGCTCTGTTTCGTCCTGCCCCCTGTTTTAACCTACATAACTGTCCGTGATAGCGCTATCCAGACTTTCAAGTTTCAACAAACTTGTCTTTTGTTTTGCTCCTGCTTTACTCCTAACCTCAAGTGGTAATGAAATTCATCCTCATTTGATAGGAAACTTTTAAGAGTCTGTAAGGGACCGATCATTATTTATTACTGGAGGACTGGAGAGGGAGCCGAGGAAAATTATGATTGCATGCGTAAATAAAATTTTAAAATAATTTTTTTATAAAGCTTTTTAAGACTTTCGAGACTGATGCACTGTTTCTGGAAATACATTATTTAGTGACATGGGTGGAATATCTATCATAAAATATCTATAAATTTCACTAAAGCCCAGTATATGACTTTCAAACAAGGCATAACAATAAACAATAAAATTTATGGACGTTTCGTTGTGTTGCAAAAAGAATTATTCTTTATTGTTATCTTGTTTGAAAGTCATATTTAAATTTCGCTTTCCTCACTCGTTCTTTAATGCAACGTCCTCCGACGTTGTAGTTGGCAAATTTGGAAATCCTTTTTTCTAGAAGTTCTTGATAGACACGCCCCCTTGATTTACAAAAGCGTAAAGCATCGTTTTGTCCCTTGGATGAATTCTAATATTAAATCAAAGGTCTCAATGAGACGACTCGCGGATCATATCGTGTAATATTAGTAGAGAGAATACTGTGATTTCAGTAAAATTGGAAAAAGATCGTTAAATGTTATCAGAAGTTCAGAACCTCGATTTCCAAGCAATGTTTGCACGATATACATGATTGGGATATACCAAAATCTGATTACGAAAATATAGGCCATAGCGAATAGCAACATAGTAAAATAGATAATATAATATAAAATAGTCAACATAATATTGTCAATTTAAAATAGTCAATATTAAAACCCGGCAGAAATAACTATATATGATATTAAACCAGACACAGTGCTAAAAAAGTAAAATGCAGTGCTTATTAATATTAGTACGCTATTCTCCTGTCGGCTGCCAGTTGGTCCGTATGCGGGGATTAAAACGGCTTCAAATCCTTCAAAATAAATTACGGCCCAAAAACGAGGAAATCAACGATACCAAAGTTAGCAAGAATCAAACTTACTGCATTTGTAATTTAATAGTTTAATAATTTTGAGCGATTTGTCAACAATACAATTTCGCTTATTAAAACTGCGCTTTAAAACCTTCAAAATAAAATATTTTGGACTCAAAATGCTATCAAAATGAAGAGAAAAGTGTGACGAATCCACTGAATGGTATACGGCCGAAAACGAGGAAACCAACGATACGAAAGTTAGCAAGGGATCAAACGTAATGCATTTTTAATTAGTTTAATAATTTTGAGCGATTTGTCAACAATACAATTTCGCTCGACTTTCAAAGGCCTTAAAATCGCTAGAATAGTGTTGTTTAGTAATACATTTGATATCCGTAAGTACAATTGTTTTCACAGAATCGAACAGTGGTATTTTTTTGAGATAACGCGCAGCAAAAAGTCAATCGTCTCCGCAATATCAAAATATCGAATCCAGACATGGAACTTCATCCAAAAGCACGAGTTTGCAAGCGTTGTGAAAACAACCAATCACGAGGCATTCCAAACCGGTCTGACCGGTTCCAGGCGCGCAAAGCAGGCTGGAGGAAAACAAAAGAAATAATTGATTCTGTGGTTGATAGCAAAGACTCACAAATACTCCTACGGAGTATCCGTGAGTCAAAAACTAATAAATTCTAGAGATTTTCATAAGAAGAGAACAACGAAATATAATCCTCAGGTACATTGGGAAAAATATAAATCAGAAAGAAATAAAGTTAACTCGGAAATGAAAGGGCCAAAACTGCCTATTATCAAACAAAAATAAAGGAACTTTCCTTAGCTAAAGGTCGCTGATAAACGCCTTATTAGGCAAAAGTGGGAAATCATCTAATATTGCAGAAATTAATATTGATGGAAACATATACAATGATCGCCAATATATAGCTGAACATTTAAATGACTATTTTATTAATATTGGATCAACCCTTGCTGCTGAAGCAGCATGTTTATCTGATCATGAAGAATCGCATCAATACCAAACTGATGTTAATTCGCAATTTTATTTTTACACAATACCTGAATCTAGTATTCTGAAAAACTTGATGAATCTAAAAATATCCAAGGCAACTGGGGTTGATGGGATACCAGCTAAAATACTGAAACTATTATTGCCCCGTCTTTAACTTATATCTTTAACCTTTCAATTTCTACGGGTGTATTTGTTGATGATTGGAAAAGGGCTAAGGTAATACCTGTCTATAAATCAGAAGATAGAAAAAAATGTGAGAATTATCGCCCGATTTCTATTCTCCCATTATAAGCAAACTGTTTGAGAAAGAAGTATTTGGACAGCTTTATCAATACTTAATAGACAATTCTCTGCTTTCCCAATTTCAATCCGGTTTTCGGCCCAAACATTCGACATTGTCCTTAATAATCCAAATGAGTGATAATTGGTTAGAGAATATGGATAATGGAAAACTGACCGGATTAATTTCAGTTGATATTAGGAAAGCCTTTGACTCTATTGACCACAAAATCCTAATAAGGAAAATGCAAGAAAAATTTGGAGTTCATAGTTTGGAGCTACAATGGTTCCAATCATATTTGTCAAAAAGAAGTCAAGTTTGTGCGGTTGATGGTCACACATCCTTGGCTAGGGAAATTGTATGCGGTGTTCCACAAGGATCTATTTTGGGACCCCTCTTGTTTTTGTCATATATAAATGATTTGCCAGAATGTCTACAAAACACAACTCCAGGGATGTATGCCGATGATACTCAAATATATGCATCATCAGCAAGTTTCACAGAACTAGTAACAAAACTTAATGAAGACTTAGAAAATAGGGTCAAATGGCTTTCCCAAAATAAATTACAACTTCATAACAAAAAGACAAAAGTGATGTTTATAGGTTCACCCTATAATCTCAAAAACAAAGTTGGCAATGACCAAGTAATGATAAATAATAAACCCGTCACCTGATATTCCTCATTTCGATGTTTGGAAGTAGAACTTAATAAAAACTTGAGTTGGGAAAAGCATATAGATTCAATATGTGAAAAGGTCGGCTCTGGTATTGGAATTATTAAAAGAGTTAAACCGTTTGTACCGAATGAAACTTTACAAAATTTGTATAATGCTCTCGTCCTACCATCCTTTGATTACTGTTCACCCTGATGGGACAGCTGTGGTCTATATAGCTAAAAGAGAAAATTCAAAAACTACAAAATAGAGCGGCAAGAGCCTTACAGGTGCCAATTACGACATTAGGTCGTCGGATTTACTCTATGCTATGTCGTGGAAGAATCTGAACGACAGACAAAAAATGAACAAATCTGTCCTGATTTATAAAATATTACAAAAAAACAGTTTGAACTATATATTTTTCAACTATTCGGCTATATATATGTTTTAAGATGTTCGTGACATATGTCTGACATGAATGATGTGTTAACACATATTTTCTATTAACCTGGGGCAGGGCTTAATAAAGAGAGGGGGGACTCGGGGGAGCTTAATAAAAATCTTCACCTAAAAGGGGGATTATTAGAAAGGGTGCTTATTGGGGGGGGGGGGCTAAATAAAGAGAATATCACTCAAACAAACTAAACTGGTTCTGTCAATTTTTATATATAATAAGGTGACAGAACATAATTTATAATATAGCATTTGTAAATTCTGAACGCTGATTGGCTAAGAGCCGTGTTGATATAACTCAATGTCAACACGGAAAATTTTCCGCCACTTGTAAACACGGAAATTTTTCTTATCCTTCGGGCTTTTGACATTGCTATATTATAAAAAAAATATAAAACATTTTTTCCGTATTGATATATAGTTATATCAACACTCGTGGAAGTTGGAAAAACTCGAAATTGTATGAAAACACTCCGCCTTTCGGGCGTCGTGTTTCCATACAATTTCTCGTTTTCCCAAATTCCACTCGTGTTGATATAACTGTATATCAACACGGAAAATGTTTTATATTTGTTAAATATCACATATGTGTTGCAGGGGTCATCCTAAGAAAAATTTAGAACTGCCCATTTCATAGCTGCTTCCAGATGCAATGTGTGTTGTGGGCATTATGCCTTCTAGGGGTGCCGGGGATAGCTCTCCCCCTGAAAAATTTTGAAATTGAGGTCTCTCAAATGGCATTTCCAGCATTCTGAGAACAAATTTTGGGAAAAATTTTAGATTTACAAAAAATTATAATGGTGCATTTTCTGAAATCAGAAATCTGTGTATATAGTAACTATAATTAAATCGCTCACTTATCGATATTTCCTTTTTCTTTGTAGATAATTATTGAATGTTTAGATTATTGAATGTTTAGAAGTTCAGCATTTCTCTCCAAAACTCAATTTTAGAACGGCCCATTTTAGGATTTAGAGCTACCCATTTTCCAATTAGAACTGCACATTTTGAAAAATGGGAGGCCTTAGGATGACCCCTGCTGTGTTGACTGCTGTGTTGAAGTCTTTGCTACAGTAGTGGTGTGTCTGTAATTACAGACTCTACACATAAATAATATAAGTAATGTATACTTACCGGTTTAATAAAATAATTACATTTCATTTAGGCACTAAATGACCCATATTTAGTTAGAAAAAACACTGTTCTTCCATTTCAAAAACCTAAAATTGAATACTGTGAAAAGAAAAATATATATGGCTGCCATATTTTAAAAATTTGACCTCCTGTGGCCACCCTTTGTCATAGTCTATTTTTGACTAGTATAGTTTTGTGCAAGTCCATGTTTTACAAATGAGTCCAGTCCATGTTTTACAAATGAGTCCAGTCAATGTTTTACAAATGAGTCCAGTCCATGTTTTACAAATGAGTCCAGTCCATGTTTTACAAATGAGTCCAGTCCATGTTTTACAAATGAGTCCAGTCCATGTTTTACAAATGAGTCCAGTCCATGTTTTACAAATGAGTCCAGTCCAGGTTTTACAAATGAGTCCAGTCCATATGGTTTTACAAATGAGTCCAGTCCATGTTTTACAAATGAGTCCAGTCCATGTTTTACAAATGAGTCCAGTCCAGGTTTTACAAATTAGTCCAGTCCGGGTTTTACAAATGAGTCCAGTCCATGTTTTACAAATGAGTCCAGTCCAGGTTTTACAAGTCTAGTCCAGTCCAGGTTTTACAACATGCCTTCAAAATGTTCAAAGAAATGAGATGATGCATTGGGCGGTCTGTAAACAGTTGTACTAACAATAAATGGTCAACTGTGTGGTTTAGTAATTTCTACACAAACAGATCAAATTTTGTAATTGATAGAGCTACGTAAATATATGCAAACGCCACCTCCGTTTCGCGATCTGTCTTTTCTAATTATGTCATAGTTGTCTAAATGAATAAAGTTATCAGTAAAACTCAAATCAAGCCATGTCTCATCAAATGCAATCAGATCGATATTCAATTCGTTATCTTCTGATAACTTGGGAATGACTGAATGAGCTGTGAATAAATTGTTAAGGCCATTCTTCATCATTTTCAAGGTACTTTTAAGTGATGCATAAAAATTGGGGAGAAATTTTCATGTCATGTGCAATAATTTTATTCTTTGCCATAAAATAAACTATAATTTTTGTAACCCACGAAGCACGAAATCATGTTGTATAAACAAATTTGTGCTTTATACCAAGCACGTAAATTAATTCAGCTTATAAAAGGAAAACTTGTCTTTAGATATAAAGGGTAATGTTAATGAGGCTTGAATGGACGACTTGCGCTTTAGACTAAATTTTAATCTAAGTAAGAACAACGAAATCTATCACCACAGCTGGAAAGAGCGTCTTGGAATTAGTAATATTACAAAATTTGGTTGCGAAATGTTGTAAAATACGGAAAATATAGCCCTTCAAAGTTGGCAAATTTGTATACTTTTGTATTACGTGCGTGAATTGGTAACTAAATTAGTTACCAATTTCCGCACGTAATAGAAATGTATACAAATTTGCCAACTTCGCAGGGGGCTGTATTTTCCGTATTTTACAACATTTCGCAACCAAACTTTGCAGTTTTTCTAATTTTGATAACTTCTTTCAGAAAATTTCCTTTGTTATTCCCAGATTAAAAATTTTTCTAAAGCGTAAGTCGTCCATTACAAGTTCTAAAACTTTAACAACGTAGTAATCACGAGCTGCAAAGCTTATCTTTTGCCCAGAGGTATGCGAAATAGAGGTATAAATATAGAACTAAATAATTTCAAATAAAGCACAATAATAAGTCTGACGACTGTCAACATAATATATATGCGCGTTATGTATATAGACTTAAAAAATAAGCAGAAACTCGACGTTTCGAGCGAACCTTCGCTCGAAACTATGGAGGGTGATTACCGCCAAAATTAATGTTTGAATTTTGCATTGCAAGTTCTAGATTTTGTTGTTCGTTCCGTGCTTTTTGATATCAATGATTGAATTTTGATATTAAAGAATTGAATTTTGATGTTCGCAATTGCATTTGCACTTCTGTTTGCGCATTTTGTCCTTAATCATTCCATTGTGATGACGTAACATTATGCGTGACCCTCAGAACACAATTTTCAACTCGATTTAATGATAATTTATTTCCCGCAAAAATTTTAATTATCTCTAATTATTCCAACATTGTTACTCAAAATCACAAGAAGCAGAAACTTTTAATATTACGCCGTGCAGCAAGCATTTTAACGCACA